AGTTCTCATTGTTTCTACAGATTGTGAATTGAAAATAAACATTTTTGCTAAAAGTATTATTATATTATTGATCGATTGACTATGACTTTTCAGATCACCCAGTAGTGCTATCTGCAGGGTTAGCTCCAGGTAAATATTGCAATCCTTTAGCCATTCCTGGACCTGTGTCCAAAAACAAGCTACAAATGGACAGTACCAAAACAAATGATCTAATGATTCTGTCTCTTCGCAGCAAAAGGTAGAAGGATTACTGTTATCCTATCCCAGGTATTCCTTAAAGAGGTAGGGTTTCAAGTGTCTCCGGAAGGTGGTCAGTGACTCCTCTGTCCTGGCGTCGTGGGGGAGCTTGTTCCGCCATTGGGGTGCCAGAGCAGCGAAGGAAAGAAATTCCACAAATTAACTTTTAAGAAGGCACACCTGTTAATTGAAATGCATTCCAGGTGACTACCTCATGAAGCTGGTTGAGAGAATGCCAAGAGTGTGCAAAGCTGTCATCAATGCAAAGGGTGGCTATTTTAAGAATCTCAAATATAAAACATAAAACACTTTTTTGGTTACAACATGATTCCATATGTGTTATATCATAGTTTTGATGTCTTCACTATTATTCTAGAATATAAAGAATAAAGAAAAAATGTTGAATAAGTAGGTGTTTCCAAACTTTTGACTGGTAATGTTCATATTAGTGGTAGGTGGCTTTATAACATCATGTTCATATTAGTGGTAGGTGGCTTTATAACATCATGTTCATATTAGTGGTAGGTGGCTTTATAACATCATGTTCATATTAGTGGTAGGTGGCTTTATAACATCATGTTCATATTAGTGGTAGGTGGCTTTATAACATCATGTTCATATTAGTGGTAGGTGGCTTTATAACATCATGTTCATATTAGTGGAAGGTGTGTTTATAACATCATGTTCATATTAGTGGTAGGTGGCTTTATAACATCATGTTCATATTAGTGGTAGGTGGCTTTATAACATCATGTTCATATTAGTGGTAGGTGGCTTTATAACATCATGTTCATATTAGTGGTAGGAGGCTTTATAACATCATGTTCATATTAGTGGTAGGTGGCTTTATAACATCATGTTCATATTAGTGGTAGGGTGGCTTTATAAACATCATGTTCATATTAGTGGTAGGTGGCTTGATAACTTCATGTTCATATTAGTGGTAGGTGGCTTCATAACATCATGTTCATATTAGTGGTAGGAGGCTTTATAACATCATGTTCATATTAGTGGTAGGTGGCTTTATAACATCATGTTCATATTAGTGGTAGGTGGCTTTATAACATCATGTTCATATTAGTGGTAGGTGGCTTTATAACATCATGTTCATATTAGTGGTAGGTGGCTTTATAACATCATGTTCATATTAGTGGAAGGTGGCTTTATAACATCATGTTCATATTAGTGGTAGGTGTCTTTATAACATCATGTTCATATTAGTGGTAGGTGGCTTTATAACATCATGTTCATATTAGTGGAAGGTGGCTTTATAACATCATGTTCATATTAGTGGTAGGTGGCTTGATAACATCGTGTTCATATTAGTGGTAGGTGGCTTTATAACATCATGTTCATATTAGTGGTAGGTGGCTTTATAACATCATGTTCATATTAGTGGTACGTGTCTGTGAACCATTACCCCCCCCACATTACAGGACTCCCTCCCAGTTTGTTCCCTGCTGATTCTAGACTCCACTAAGCTCAATTTCTGAAAAACGATTTACAAGTATACACAGTAACTCCTTTTCACCAACCAACCCTCAGTCCTAACCAGTGGTGGGATTTCTTAGTTGAAAAGTAATACATCACATATTACTAGTTACTATGTAACCAAAGGAAGGCGTTATGTTGCAGCGAGGCGAGCCACCCACACTCTACCAAAGATACTAATATGCAGTGGCGATTTTAACATGAACATTTTTGTGGGGGCAAACTCAATCAACAAAGCTCATATGCATCGAAACCTCTATACTACACATTGAATGCACTATAATAACCATTCCCAGAAATGTGTTTTGAGCCACGATCAGCATTATAGAGTAATGAGAGGTGAGGGACACCACGGTAGTCCAGCATTATAGAGTAATGAGAGGTGAGGGACACCATGGTAGTCCAGCATTATAGAGTAATGAGAGGTGAGGGACACCATGGTAGTCCAGCATTATAGAGTAATGAGAGGTGAGGGACACCATGGTAGTCCAGCATTATAGAGTAATGAGAGGTGAGGGACACCATGGTAGTCCAGCATTATAGAGTAATGAGAGGTGAGGGACACCATGGTAGTCCAGCATTATAGAGTAATGAGAGGTGAGGGACACCGTGGTAGTCCAGCATTATAGAGTAATGAGAGGTGAGGGACACCACGGTAGTCCAGCATTATAGAGTAATGAGAGGTGAGGGACACCATGGTAGTCCAGCATTATAGAGTAATGAGAGGTGAGGGACACCATGGTAGTCCAGCATTATAGAGTAATGAGAGGTGAGGGACACCACGGTAGTCCAGCATTATAGAGTAATGAGAGGTGAGGGACACCATGGTAGTCCAGCATTATAGAGTAATGAGAGGTGAGGGACACCACGGTAGTCCAGCATTATAGAGTAATGAGAGGTGAGGGACACCATGGTAGTCCAGCATTATAGAGTAATGAGAGGTGAGGGACACCACGGTAGTCCAGCATTATAGAGTAATGAGAGGTGAGGGACACCACGGTAGTCCAGCATTATAGAGTAATGAGAGGTGAGGGACACCATGGTAGTCCCAGCATTATAGAGTAATGAGAGGTGAGGGACACCACGGTAGTCCAGCATTATAGAGTAATGAGAGGTGAGGGACACCATGGTAGTCCAGCATTATAGAGTAATGAGAGGTGAGGACACCATGGTAGTCCAGCATTATAGAGTAATGAGAGGTGAGGGACCCATGGTAGTCCAGCATTATAGAGTAATGAGAGGTGAGGGACACCAACGGTAGTCCAGCATTATAGAGTAATGAGAGGTGAGGGACACCATGGTAGTCCAGCATTATAGAGTAATGAGAGGTGAGGGACACCACGGTAGTCCAGCATTATAGAGTAATGAGAGGTGAAGGACACCACAGTAGTCCAGCATTATAGAGTAATGAGAGGTGAGGGACACCACGGTAGTCCAGCATTATAGAGTAATGAGAGGTGAGGGACACCATGGTAGTCCAGCATTATAGAGTAATGAGAGGTGAGGGACACCATGGTAGTCCAGCATTATAGAGTAATGAGAGGTGAGGGACACCATGGTAGTCCAGCATTATAGAGTAATGAGAGGTGAGAGGGACACCATGGTAGTCCAGCATTATAGAGTAATGAGAGGTGAGGGACACCGTGGTAGTCCAGCATTATAGAGTAATGAGAGGTGAGGGACACCACGGTAGTCTACCATTATAGAGTAATGAGAGGTGAGGCACACCATGGTAGTCCAGCATTATAGAGTAATGAGAGGTGAGGGACACCATGGTAGTCCAGCATTATAGAGTAATGAGAGGTGAGGGACACCATGGTAGTCCAGCATTATAGAGTAATGAGAGGTGAGGGACACCATGGTAGTCCAGCATTATAGAGTAATGAGAGGTGAGGGACACCACGGTAGTCCAGCATTATAGAGTAATGAGAGGTGAGGGACACCACGGTAGTCCAGCATTATAGAGTAATGAGAGGTGAGGGACACCACGGTAGTCTACCATTATAGAGTAATGAGAGGTGAGAGGGACACCATGGTAGTCCAGCATTATAGAGTAATGAGAGGTGAGGGACACCACGGTAGTCCAGCATTATAGAGTAATGAGAGGTGAGGGACACCACGGTAGTCCAGCATTATAGAGTAATAAGAGGTGAGGGACACCACGGTAGTCTACCATTATAGAATAATGAGAGGTGAGGGACACCACGGTAGTCCAGCATTATAGAGTAATGAGAGGTGAGGGACACCATGGTAGTCCAGCATTATAGAGTAATGAGAGGTGAGGGACACCATGGTAGTCCAGCATTATAGAGTAATGAGAGGTGAGGGACACCATGGTAGTCCAGCATTATAGAGTAATGAGAGGTGAAGGACACCACGGTAGTCCAGCATTATAGAGTAATGAGAGGTGAGGGACACCATGGTAGTCCAGCATTATAGAGTAATGAGAGGTGAGAAGGACACCACGGTAGTCCAGCATTATAGAGTAATGAGAGGTGAGGGACACCATGGTAGTCCAGCATTATAGAGTAATGAGAGGTGAGGGACACCACGGTAGTCCAGCATTATAGAGTAATGAGAGGTGAGGGACACCATGGTAGTCCAGCATTATAGAGTAATGAGAGGTGAGGGACACCACGGTAGTCCAGCATTATAGAGTAATGAGAGGTGAGGGACACCATGGTAGTCCAGCATTATAGAGTAATGAGAGGTGAGAGGGACACCTCTCAAAAAATGTTTATTTTACTTCAGGATCAATTTCAGCAACGGTCTGCAATGTTTTGTGACATTGTTAGGGTATTGGGATGCAGCCAAAACACCCGAGTGCTCTGCCTGCCGGTTTCAAATATAACCCGCTTAACAATAAAGGAACAACGATTTATAACGCTATTGCCTCGCTTCATCTATTGCATAGTTACAGTGGACTTTGCTATCACAGAATCGATCAACTGCAAAGATCAGAGGTGCACCCTCTATCCATTTTTATGGACAGCCGTCATGAATTCTCCAGATCAGATCATGGAAACATCATGTCCGGTGGGGAAATATTTTCTGAAAGTAACTTAAAGGTAACGCACGTGTTATTTGAAAAAATTAGCTAATAATATTACCACATTTCTGAATGTACATTACCGCAAAAAGTTATATTACTACTGTAACGCCTTACCCCCAATACTGGTCCTAACTCCTCTTCCCCCCTCTTTCGCTTTCTCTCTTTCCCTTTCTGTCTCTCTCCCCCCCCCTCTCTCTTTCTCTCTCCTCCTCCTTGGTAGGTGATGACCATCCAGATCAAGTGTTTTCAGGAGATCATAGAGATCGGCTACAGGGTCTACCATTCCTACGAGCTTCCCTGGTTCAGGACACTCAGCTGGTGAGGACCAACTAGATCTATCTTTCAATCTCTTGGTGATTATTTTCTCTCTCACCCTCCCCCTCTCTGCCTCTCTCTTGTTTTCCTATCGCACACAGAACCTTAAAGGTTACATTTACCAGCTCTGTGTGCCCTCTCTCCCTTTCTCTGACGCCGTCTACTCTCCATCTCATCCCCCTTTCTCATGTCCTGAATCTCCCCCTTTCTGCTCACTCCTGGTACCCCCTTTTCTCTACTCTCCTCTCTCCCCTTCTCTGATCCCCTCTCCCCTTCTCTGCCCTCACCTCGTTCACTGACTCCCTCTCTCTTATCTCTTTTCTATCTCCATCCTTGCATCTGTGCTCTCTCTCTCCCTCCCCTCCCTCCTCCTCCCCCTCTCCCCTTCCCTTTCTTCTCTCTCTCCTCCCTCCCGCTCTCTCTTCCCCTCTGCCCTCTCTCCTTCCCTCCCCCCTCTCCTCTCTCCTACTCCCTCTCTCTCTCTGCTCCTCTCTCTTTCTCTGGCTCCCTCCCTCCATCTCCCTCTCTCTCTCTCCTCTTCCCCTTCCACCTCTCTTCTCCCTCTCTCCTCTCTCCTTCTCTTCCTCCTGTCTCCCTCTTCCTTCTTCTCCTCCCTTCCCTCTCTCCTGCTCTCTTCTCTCTCTCCCTCTCTCTCTCCCCTCCTCTCCTTCTCTCTCTCTCCCTTTCTTTCTCTCTTCTCTCTCCCCTCTCTCTCTCTCCTCTTTCTCTCTCTCCCTCTCTCTCTCTCTCCTCTCCTCGGCCTCCTCCTCTTTCTTCCTCTCTCCTCCTCTCGTCTCCCCTCTCTCTCTCCTGTTTCTTCTCTCCTCTCTGCGTCTCTGAAAAATAGAGTGCCACCAACTGGTGCCATGTTTGATTATACAGTGCATTAGGAAAGTATTCAGACCCTTTGACTTTTTCCACATGTTGTTACGTTACAGCCTTATTCTAAAATGGATTAAATGGTTTTTTCCCTCATCAATCTACACACAATACCCCATAATGACAAAGCGAAAACAGGTTTTTAAAATTTTAGCAAATGTATTACAAATAAAATAAAGAAATACCTTATTTACATAAGTATTCAGACCCTTTGCTATGAGACTCTAAATAGAGCTCAGTTGCATTCTGTTTCCATTGATCCTCCTTCTACAACTTGATTGGAGTCCACCTGTGGTCAATTCAATTGATTGGACATGATTTGGAAAGGCACACACCAGTCTATATAAGGTTCCACAGTTGACAGTGCATGTCAGAGCAAAAACCAAGCCATGAGGTCAAAGGAATTGTCCGTAGAGCTCCGAGACAGGATTGTGTCGAGGCACAGATCTGGGGAAGGGTACCAAAAAATGTCTGCAGCATTGAAGGTCCCCAAGAACACAGTGGCCTCCATCATTCTAAAATGGAAGAAGTTTGGAACCACCAAGACTCTTCCTAGAGCTGGCCTCCCGGCCAAACTGAGCAATCGGGGGAGAAGGGCCTTGGTCAGGGAGGTGACCAAGAACCCGATGGTCACTCTGACAGAGCTCCAGAGTTCCTCTGTGGAGATGGGAGAACCTTTCAGAAGGACAACCTAAAGGACTCTCAGACCATGAGAAACAAGATTCTCTGGTTTGATGAAACCAAGATTGAACTCTTTGTCCTGAATGCCAAGCGTCACGTCTGGAGGGGCAGGGACTGGGAGGCTAGTCAGGATCGAGGGAAATATGAACGGAGCAAAGTACAGAGAGATCCATGATGATAACCTGCTCCAGAGCGCTCAGGACCTCAGACTGGGGTGAAGGTTCACCTTCCAACAGGACAACAACCCTAAGCACATTGTCAAGACAACGCACGAGTGGCTTCGGGACAAGTCTCTGAATGTCCTTGAGTGTCCCAACCATAGCCCGGACTTGAACCCGATCGAACATCTCTGGGGAGACCTGAAAATAGCTGTGCAGCAACTCTCCCCATCCAACCTGACAGAGCTTGAGAGGATCTGCAGAGAAGAATGGGAGAAACTCCCCAAATAGAGGTGTGCCAAGCTTTAGTGTCATATCCAAGAAGACTCAAGGCTGTAATTGCTACCAAAGGTGCTTCAACAAAGTACTGAGTAAAGGGTCTGAATACTTATGTAAATGTGATTTTTTTTGGATTTTTTAAAATATATTTGCTTTGTCATTATGGGGTATTGTGTGTAGATTGAGGGGGAAAAAACGATGTCATACATTTTTAAATAAGGCTGTAACGTAACAAAGTGTAAAGTCAAGGGGTCTGAATACTTTCCGAATGCACTGTAGGTGCAACTGTCCCGGCGTCCCGGATAGAGGAAGTAGAATGACCATTTACATTTTAGTCATTTAGCAGACACTCTTATCCAGAGCGACTTACAGTTAGTTTATTTTTTTCATACTGGCCCCCCTTGGGAATCAAACCCACAACCCTGGCGTTGCAAACGCCATGCTCTACCAACTGAGCTACATCCCTGCCGGTCATTCCCTCCTCTACCCTGGACGACGCTGGGCCAATTGTGCGCCGCCCCATTGGTCTCCCGGTCGCGGCCGGCTACGACAGAGCCTGGATTCGAACCAGTATCTCTAGTGGCACAGCTAGCACTGCGATGCAGCGCCTTAGACAACTGCGCCACTCGGGAGACAGTTAGTGAGTGCATACATTTTTCATACTGGCCCCCCATGGGAATCGAACCCACAATCCTGGCGTTGCAAGCGCCATTCTCTACCAACTGAGCTACACTGGACCAGTTAAATGAAAGTACACACAACATGCCCTCTGAACAGACCAACCCAGAGCAAACTCTTAACCTCTGAACAGACCAACCCTCACAGAGCAAACTCTTAACCTCTGAACAGACCAACCCTCACAGAGCAATCTCTAACCTCTGAACAGACCAACCCTCACAGAGCAAATCTCTAACCTCTGAACAGACCAACCCTCACCAAGCAAACTCTTAACCTCTGAACAGACCAACCCTCACAAGCAATCTCTAACCTCTGAACAGACCAACCCTCACCAGAGCAAACTCTTAACCTCTGACAGACCAACCCTCACCAGCAACTCTTAACCTCTGAACAGACCAACCCTCACCAAGCAAACTCTTAACCTCTGAACAGACCAACCCTCACCAAGCAAACTCTAACCTCTGAACAGACCAACCCTCACCAAGCAAACTCTTAACCTCTGAACAGACCAACCCTCACCAAGCAAACTCTTAACCTCTGAACAGACCAACCCTCACAGAGCAATCTCTTAACCTCTGAACAGACCAACCCTCACAGAGCAAACTCTTAACCTCTGAACAGACCAACCCTCACCAAGCAATCTCTAACCTCTGAACAGACCAACCCTCACCAAGCAAAACTCTTAACCTCTGAACAGACAACCCCACCAAGCAAACTCTAAACTTGACAGACACCCTCACCAAGCACCTTTAACCTCTGACAGACCAACCCTCCCAAGCAACTCTTAACCTCTGAACAGACTAACCCTCAGCATCTCCTAACTCTGAACAGACCAACCCGCAGTAGCAAACTCTACCTCTGAACTGACCACCCTGCAGAGCAAACTTTAACCTCTGAAAGACCAACCCTCACAGAGCACCTTACTCTGACCAGACAACCTCACAGGCAAACTCTTAACTCTGACTAACCACCCTCACGAGCAAACTCTAGCCTCGTGAACAGACCACCGCACAGGCAAACTAAAACCTCTGAACAGACCAACTCACAACAAATTCTTAACCTCTGAACAGACCAACCCTCAAGAGCAATCTCTTAACCTCTGAAAGACCAACCCTCACAGAGCAAACTCTTAACCTCTGAACACCAACCATCCAGCAACTCTTAACCTCTGAACAGAACAACCCTCACAGAGCAATCTCTTAACCTCTGAACAGACCAACCCTCAGAGAGCAAACTCTAACCTCTGAACAGACCAACCCTCACCAAGCAAACTCTTAACCTCTGAACAAAAACACACGTGAAACCAAAGGAAGGAATACAAGATCCTTGTTTTTCTTCAGGTACTTTAGCCTGCTGATTTGTGTGAATTGATACTGACTTGTTTTCCCTTCTTTTAGGTACTTCCTGATTTGTGTGAACTACTTCTTCTATGGTGAGACGTTGGCGGAGTACTTTGGTGCGTTGGTTCAGAGAGAGGAACCGCTCCAGTTCCTGGTCCGATACCATAGATTTATCTCCTTCGCTCTCTACCTGGCAGGTGAGGCTCGGTGTAACGCCGTCAGTACAAGGAAGTACAAGTGTAAGATAGAAACACATAATGTTATATATAAGCCTGTGCAGTTCTTATCGCCATAGTGATATGAATCTGTTGTTTGTGCCACCCGGCTGCTCTTATAAAAACGGTAATAAACCATAAACGTTAAACGGTCTGTCGGTAAATCCATCCTACGTCCCTTTGTGACATAGAAACAGCTGTAATAATAATAATAATAATAATAATAATAATAATACACTGGTCTATAACAACATCGAAACAGCAGTAATAATGCACTGGTCATAACAACCATAGAAACAGCAGTAATAATACACTGGTCTATAACACCATAGAACAGCTGTAATATACACCTGTCATAACACCATAGAACAGCAGTAATAATACACTGGTCTATAACACCATAGAAACAGCAGTAATATACAACTGGTCTATAACACCATAAACAGCAGTAATAATGCACTGGTCTATAACACCATAGAAACAGCAGTAATAATACACTGGTCTATAACACCATAGAAACAGCAGTAATAATACACTGGTCTATAACACCATAGAAACAGCAGTAATAATACACTGGTCTATAACACCATAGAACAGCTGTAATAATACACTGGTCTATAACCATAGAAACAGCAGTAATAATACACTGGTCTATAACACCATAGAAACAGCTGTAATAATACACTGGTCTATAACACCATAGAAACAGCAGTAATATACACTGGTCTATAACAACATAGAAACAGCAGTAATAATACACTGGTCTATAACACCATAGAAACGCAGTAATAATACATGGTCTATAATACAACATAGAAACAGCAGTAATAATACACTGGTCTATACATAGAACAGCATAATAATACACTGGTCTATAACACCATAGAAACAGCAGTAATAACACTGGTCTATAACAACCTAGAAACACGTAATAATACACTGTCTTAACACCATAGAAACAGCAGTAAATATACACTGGACTATAACAACATAGAACAGCAGTAATATGCACTGGTCTATAACACCATAGAAACAGCATACTAATACACTGGTCTATAACACCATAGAAACAGCATAATAATACACTGGACTAAACACCATAGAAACAGCAGTAATAATACACTGGTCTATAACACCATAGAAACAGCAGTAATAATACACTGGTCTATAACACCATAGAAACAGCAGTAATAATACACTGGTCTATAACAACCATAGAAACAGCAGTAATAATACACTGGTCTATAACACCATAGAAACAGCTGTAATAATACACTGGTCTATAACACCATAGAAACAGCAGTAATAATACACTGGTCTATAACACACCATAGAAACAGCAGTAATAATACACTGGTCTATAACACCATAGAAACAGCAGTAATAATACACTGGTCTATAACAACATAGAAACAGCAGTAATAATACACTGGTCTATAACACCATAGAAACAGCAGTAATAATACACTGGTCTATAACACCATAGAAACAGCAGTAATAATACACTGGTCTATAACACCATAGAAACAGCAGTAATAATACACTGGCCTATAACACCATAGAAACAGCAGTAATAATACACTGGCCTATAACACCATAGAAACAGCAATAATAATACACTGGTCTATAACAACATAGAAACAGCAGTAATAATACACTGGTCTATAACACCATAGAAACAGCAGTAATAATACACTGGTCTATAACACCATAGAAACAGCTGTAATAATACACTGGTCTATAACACCATAGAAACAGCAGTAATAATACACTGGCCTATAACACCATAGAACAGCAGTAATAATACACTGGTCTATAACACCATAGAAACAGCAGTAATAATACACTGGTCTATAACACCATAGAAACAGCAGTAATAATACACTGGTCTATAACACCATAGAAACAGCTGTAATAATACACTGGTCTATAACACCATAGAAACAGCAGTAATAATACACTGGTCTATAACACCATAGAAACAGCAGTAATAATACACTGGTCTATAACACCATAGAAACAGCTGTAATAATACACTGGTCTATAACACCATAGAAACAGCAGTAATAATACACTGGTCTATAACACCATAGAAACAGCAGTAATAATACACTGGTCTATAACACCATAGAAACAGCAGTAATAATACACTGGTCTATAACAACATCGAAACAGCAGTAATAATACACTGGTCTATAACACCATAGAAACAGCAGTAATAATACACTGGTCTATAACACCATAGAAACAGCAGTAATAATACACTGGTCTATAACACCATAGAAACAGCAGTAATAATACACTGGTCTATAACAACATAGAAACAGCAGTAATAATACACTGGTCTATAACAACATAGAAACAGCAGTAATAATACACTGGTCTATAACAACATAGAAACAGCAGTAATAATACACTGGTCTATAACACCATAGAAACAGCAGTAATAATACACTGGTCTATAACACCATAGAAACAGCAGTAATAATACACTGGTCTATAACACCATAGAAACAGCAGTAATAATACACTGGTCTGTAACTAAATGTATACAGGCACATTTGAACAGGCTAGCCCAGTGTTTCCCAAACTAGGGGGGTCGACTATTTTTAAATGTGTTCACGAGAGAAACTCCTGAAATAAAAATATATTGCGCTTGGTTCACAGAACATGAAACATGACATAATACAGAACATTAATAGACAAGAACAGCTCAAGGACAGAACTACATTAAACGTTTTTTTTTGCTGGGTAGTTTTATTGAAAAGACAAGGCCGACATGAAACATTGACTACTAGCCAGACTAAGTCCCTCCACACTGCAGTTGGTGATTAACTAACAGGGCGATAAAGTATGTTTCTCAGATCAAATCAAATCAAAGCCGAATACAACAGGTTTAGACATTACCATGAAATGCTTACTTACAGCCCTTAACCAACAATGCATTTATTTCTTAATAAAAAAAGTAAAATAAAACAACAACAACAAAAAAAAAGAGCAGAAGTAAAATAAAATAACAGTAGGGAGGCTATATATACAGGGGGGTACCGGTGCAAAGTCAATGTGCGGGGACACCGGCTAGTTGAGGTAATATGTGCATGTGGGTAGAGTTAAAGTGACAATGCATAAATAATTAACAGAGTAGCAGCAGCGTAAAAAGATGGGGTGGGGGTGCAAATTGTCCGGGTAGCCATGATTAGCTGTTCAGGAGTCTTATGGCTTGGGGGTAGAAGCTGTTGAGAAGCCTTTTGGACCTAGACTTGGCGCGCTCCGGTACCGCTTGCCGTGCGGTAGCAGAGAGAACAGTCTATGACTAGGGTGGCTGGAATCTTTGACCATTTTGAGGCCTTTCTCTGACACCGCCTGGTATAGAGGTCCTGGATGGCAGGAAGCTCGGCCCCAGTGATGTACTGGGCCGTACGCACTATCCTCTGTAGTGCCTTGCGGTCGGAGGCCGAGCAGTTGCCATACCAGGCGGTGATGCAACCAGTCAGGATGCTCTCGATGGTGCAGCTGTATAACTTTTTGAGGATCTGAGGACCCATGCCAAATCTTTTCAGTCTCCTGAGGGGGAATAGGCTTTGTCGTGCCCTCTTCACGACTGTCTTGATGTGTTTGTACCATGATAGTTCTTTGGTGATGTGGACACCAAGGAACTTGAAGCTCTCAACCTGTTCCACTACAGCCCCGTCGATGAGAATGGGGGCGTGCTCGGTCCTCCTTTTCCTGTAGTCCATAATCATCTCCTTTGTCTTGGTCACGTTGAGGGAGAGGTTGTTATCCTGGCACCACACGGCCAGGTCTCTGACCTCCTCCCTATAGGCTGTCTCATCGTTGTCGGTGATCAGGCCTACCACTGTTGTGTCGTCGGCAAACTTAATGATGGTGTTGGAGTCGTGCCTGGCTATGCAGTCATGGGTGAACAGGGAGTACAGGAGGCGACTGAGCACACACCCCTGAGGGGCCCCCGTGTTGAGGATCAGCGTGGCAGATGTGTTGTTACCTACCCTTACCACCTGGGGGCTGCCCGTCAGGAAGTCCAAGATCCAGTTGCAGAGGGAGGTGTTTAGTCCCAGGGTCCTTAGCTTAGTGATGGGCTTTGAGGGCACTATGGTGTTGAACGCTGAGCTGTAGTCAATGAATAGCTTTCTCACCTAGGTGTTCCTTTTGTCCAGGTGGGAAAGGGCAGTGTGGAGTGCAATAGAGATTGCATCATCTGTGGATCTGTTGGGGCAGTATGTAAATTGGAGTGGGTCTAGGGTTTCTGGGATATTGGTGTTGATGTGAGCCATGACCAGCCTTTCAAAGCACTTCATGGCTACAGACGTCAGTGCTACGGGTCGGTAGTCATTTAGGCAGGTTACCTTAGTGTTCTTGGGCACGGGGACTATGGTGGTCTGCTTGAAACATGTTGGTATTACAGACTCAGTCAGGGACATGTTGAAAATGTCAGTGAAGACACTTCCCAGTTGGTCAGCGCATGCTCGAAGTACACGTCCTGGTAATCCGTCTGGCCCTGCGGCCTTGTGAATGTTGACCTGTTTAAAGGTCTTACTCAAATCGGCTACGGAGAGCGTGATCACACAGCTGATGCTCTCATGCATGCTTCAGTGTTGCTTGCCTCGAAGCGAGCGTAGAAGTAATTTAGCTCGTCTGGCAGGTAGGCTCGTGTCACTGGGCAGCTCGCGGCTGTGCTTCCCTTTGTAGTCCGTAATAGTTTGCAAGCCCTGCCACATGCTTTAGTTTTTGCTTGTAAGCAGGAATCAGGAGAATATAATTATGGTCAGATTTGCCAAATGGAGGGCGAGGGAGAGCTTTGTTACGCGTCTCTGTTTGTGGAGTAAAGGTGGTCTAGATTTTTATAATTTTTTCTCTCGTGCACCAGCTGTTATTTACAAATAGACACAGACCGCCACCCCTTGTCTTATCGGAGGCTGCTGTTCTATCTTGCCGATGCACGGAAAACCCAGCCAGCTGTATGTTGTCCATGTCGTCGTTCAGCCACGACTCGTGAAACATAAGATATTACAGTTTTGAATGTCCCGTTGGTAGGATATTCTTGATCGGAGCTCATCCATTT